GTGTTGAGTTAGGGAAGAGTAACACAGGTAACAAATTGTCCTTTATACTCTCTTCAATGCATATTTTCTTACTACCATGCTACAATCAGATACTGTGATCTATCACTTGGTTTCTCTAGCTCTTGTTGAAGGTATTTTCACATGTGGATAGTTGTTCAAACTGATGTTTCTGGAGGTGGGATAACAATCACTGGATAATCCTGCTTTGTCATCTTGTTCCACCTATCCAAAACATGTTATCATGTAAAAAAGTGTTAATGGAAAGGGCTTGCCTAAACAAAAACTGCACTTTTATGACTGCTGGTCATATATCCCATTTTTGGTCATTGATTTACAAATCCATGCTGCACTGGAATTTTTATTCCTAATGTTACTACTTAGCATCCCACTGTGAAAAATTAGATCTGGAATAAGCAAAATTACAGAGAGTGTAGGCTAAAAGAAACTGATATTTTTTTATTTACATAAAAAATGTATTTCTGAAAATGTGGATAAATACTGAATGTGTAAATATTAGACACTCAAAATTAAGATGAACCCAGTTACTGTTTCTATGCAAGGGAGGGTACTAGGAATGAAATTTTTCTACCTCAACCAACTTTAAAAAAAGCAAACTTCATGAAACAATGTTTTGTTAAGACATTATACATGATACAAAGAAGAAATAACAACCCCCGAGAGATACAAAACAAAGTTAGCTGTACATGTACCCCTTCCTACTGCCCACAGAGAAGTTTCATGCCATAAAACATGGAGGAATTCTTTTCATTGAGAGATGAAGTTAAGAATCTGGGGAGACCAAAGTATACAGAATAGAGTCACAGGTACAGCACCAGAGAGAAGTGAGCTTCACAGTGAGAGAGATCTATAGAACATCAGAATATCTTCCGGATATAGACAGCAGAGAAATGATCAGTGCACCTATGTGAGAAAATTCGTCAAAAGACTAGAAGAAACAGTACTCAATACACGCACAGGGTTGGGAAGATTGGCAATAGCCATGAGTTATACTAGAAAACTTCATAATTAATGTGGCTTAAATTTCCCTATCAAAACTCACATTAAAACTTAATTGCCACTGTAACAGTATTAACAAGGTAGGGCCTTTATGAGGTGATTAGGTCATGAGGGCTCAAGAAAGGACTAATGCCTTTATCATGGGAATGGATTAGTTACTGTGGAAAAGTGTTCTCAGCAAAAAGAATGATTTCAGTCCACTTCTCTCTGCCATGTTCACTTGCTTCCGCCTTCTGCCCTTCCACCAGGGGATGAACTTCACTAGTTGTCAGCAGCATGCTCTTGGACTTGCCAGTCTCCAGAATTAAGAGCCAAATCTCTTTTCTTTATAAATTACCCAGTTCATATTATTCTGTTACAGCACCATACAACGGACTAAGTCAATAGCTTACAGGGCACTAAGTACAGTATAAAAAAGGGTCTTTCCTCACTTGTGGCAAATAATTATCTCTACACCAAATATACTAACTGGTCCTGCTGAAAGATCATAAAAACATGACCCAGATGGATCAAACTATTTTTAATTACTTGCATCTAGAACAAAGCTATTTATAAGAACACAACAATATCCAGCACCTATGATAAAATTTATAATATCTAATAGCTTAAATAGCAAACATTTTTAAAAAAGGAGAAAAGTCAACCAAAACCAACCCAGCTGACACCAACCTTAGAATTAAAAACATTAAAATAGTTATTAAAACTATGATCCATTTGTTCAAAAAAAGACTGAGCATATTAAGCACAGATGTAAAATAGACCTAAATCTAACTGCAAGAAATGAAAACTACAGCATGTGATATTTTAAAAACTCTCACTAGACATAACTAATAAGATTTGAGATTAAAGATTAGTAAAATTAAAAACACAGCCATAGAAACTATTTTAAATAAAATAGCAAAGAAGAAAAAGGCAAAAGGAGGAAAATGAAGCCGACCACCAGTAAGATATGAATCAAATATGGTCAGCCTAATACACAGGTAACTAGAGTTGCCGATAAGTTGGGAAAACAACAGAAAAACATTTGAAAAATTAATGCTGAAAACGTTCCTAATCGAATGAAAAATTTAAAAACACGTATCAACACATCTTAAGTATGCACATAATAAAGAAAAACCTCAGGCAAGTAAAGGAGGAAGAAATTGTGACCCATAATGAGGCGACACATACTTCCTTTCAAACTAATCCAAAACTGATAGGCATTAGAATCTTCAGACAAGGGTATTACAATGGTTGTGTAATTGAATAAAATATATTCAAAAATTAGAGACTATACTAAAAAGGATTCAAATCCAACTTCTAGAGATAAAAACTACAGTGCCTAATATAAAAAATACAGCTGTTTAAAATTCAGGCCTGTGCATGTCTGCACACATACAACAGTACAATGATATATACCGTATCTGCATGTAGGTGCTGAGCTCAATTTAATGGCAAGCCAGAGCAACGGAACATCTTTTTGGCACATGCTTTCATAGTGGTATAAGAATAAGTTGTGCAAGAATAAATGAATGAGTGAAATATCAAATTCTATTGACATTTTTATTAGCATTTATTTTAAGTTTGAAGGTACTTTTGTTCCACTTTAGATTTATGACAAGGGTAGAGGCTATTCACTTTCAGGCTTTCAGGTCCATTTAATTGAAAAATATAAACTTCAAGGAAAAAATGCTTCTATCCCTATTAATATTATTAGGATTCAATAAGGCAGTCAGTTTACTACATAATCCAAATAAAAGGAGACATAAAAAAACCCAATTATCATCCATAATTTTTTTACTTCAAACTTTTGTTTTCACTCTAACGTTTGTGTATGTTGCACATATAAACTAAAACAGCAAATTAGTGTTTATAGTGTATTTTTGGTTTACTTAATATATCACTTAATATATATATATAGTATTATCACTTAATATATACATATAGATCACTCTCTCTCTATATATATATATACACACACACACACACACACACACACACACACACACACATATATAGAGAGAGAGTGATCCATTTAAAATTTATTCTGGGACAAATAAAGGATGCTACCTTCAAAAAAAAGTTTGAATATCACTCTGCAAATTTAATTTTTAAGAGGAAAATGAGGTCCCATTTAGAAATGAGAAATACTTCAAAGGTTAATACTACTGTTCAGGACACATACAGAAAATAATTTAAACTAAGACCTAAGTAGTCATTTATTGACACAGTAAGATGCTCTGTAAAAACTAAAAGCAGGCACTTGTCAGTTAGACAATTTTGGAATTCAAAAATGTTTTTCTAAAAGGGAAAATGAAAAATACTAAAATTGAATTCTGCTAAAAAGATTAACATAGTAAAACGCATGCAGTTTAAATTTATATACTGTAAATGTCATAAAAACTCAAAAGTAATACTATTCTTCTTAATAGAATGTAGCAATTACTTGAGTTGCAATTTTTATTATTTCCTCTTATCTGGCTCCTTCTTTTCTACAAGTCACCACAAAGTACCTTGTTGTAGAAGACAGCAATGGAGCAGGGTAGGGTAGGACACAACGTAACCTGAAACATCAAGGCACATTCAAATGAACAAATATTTCTGAATGTCTACACGTGCTGACTTGTGAAAGGAGAAGGCATATGAGCACAAGAGTATTAGGGAAGAATTCCAAGAGGAAATGTCACTCAAATTTTTAAGGGGAGTTAGGCACGTGAACAATTAAAAAAAAAAATGTGTTTCAGGTAGAAAACTCATGCAGCAAACACATCTAATTCAGGTCACAAGGTACATGTGGAGAACTATAAATCACTCAGTATTTCCAGAGAGCAAACTACTCAGTAAGGAAATGAGAAAGACAGAACAGTAGAGTTAGGCAAGAGTGATCTGAGCTTTATGATCTGAGCTTTGCCCATTAGGAGATGAGAAGCAACTAAAATGTTTCAGTAATGAGAGTAACTTGCAAATTCATACTAGCAAAATCTCTCATGGGGGCTATGGTGGCTCAATTGGAAACAAAAGATAGAAGTTGAGATGAATTATTCAGAGAAGGAAAGACACTTTTAAAAATTTAAACTGCATGCATTTGAACATGTCTATCAAAACTTTGAGAAATAATGAAATTTAGGGATAAAAATATCTAAGTCAGTGCATGAGTAATCTTTTAAATCATGACGCTTCATGACCCAGAGAGATTATGTCTGTTAAAGAACGCCTAACATATTTAGGGTGAAGGTACTAATAACCGCTACAAACTAGGTCATTAACAATGGAAAATCTAAATAAAAAATCTGCAAACTATGGGTCAAGCCTGTAGTTTTATTTAAACACAGCCACACCAGTTCTGTTGCATACTGTCTATGACTGCTCTGGCATTATAAGGGCACAGTTGAGAAGTTGTGACAAAGACTGTGTAGACAGGCCATAAAGCCTAGTATTTATATCTGGTTCTTTGTAGGAAAAAATTGCCAACTCCTTTTTTTTTTTTTTGAGACGGAGTTTCGCTCTTGTTACCCAGGTTGGAGTGCAATGGCGTGACCTTGGCTCACTGCAACCTCCGCCTCCCGGGTTCAGGCAATTCTCCTGCCTCACCCTCCTGAGTAGCTGGAAGTACAGGCACGCGCCACCATGCCCAGCTAATTTTTTGTATTTTCAGTAGAGACGGGGTTTCACCGTATTGACCAGGATGGTCTCGATCTCTTGACCTCGTGATCCACCCGCCTTGGCCTCCCAAAGTGCTGGAATTACAGGCTTGAGCCACCGTGCCCGGCCAAAAATTGCCAACTGTTAATATAAAAGAAGTTATCTTAGATCCAGGCAAAGAAAAGGCTTGAGTTACCTACTTAAAGTGAGAGTAAACTAAATGGTTTTTCAAGATCCTTTTCTCTTGTAACAAAATAGGTTTTTACTATTTGAAAAGGGCAAGCATCGGCATTACTCATTATGTGATATGGTGAAATGATCACCAGGCTTAATTTTGAACTGCGGATAATGCTATCTATAAGAACTCCCAGGGTTTCTCTGAAGACTAAAGCTCTGGGATAATTTATTATAAAAGAAGAGAAGAGTGACTCATAATTTTAAGCTTTTCAGTAAGTGTCTGTTATTACTAATATTAACCTAATTATACTAATAATATGCATTAGCAGGCCACATTTGCCGGGAGGGTTCTGGAATTTATAAATGTATTTGAAGTTCCATCTCATACCAATGAGAAGATCAAGAAACACACGTTCATAGTTGCATTTTCGAAGGCTGAGGAAACAACTCAGAACTCAGTAATCACTATAAACACTTTAACTAAGAAAATTTAAATCTAGAGTCTTCTCACTATATTCTAGAAGTGGAAATAATACTCAGTACTCAGAGGAGTCATGCTGGCGACTTTAACCAGTCCTGTTGTTCCTAAGTTTTTTCAGTTTTGACTCTGGGACTACTTTGACAACACTTGCTACATTATACCTTAGCAAGTACCAGTAGAATTTAACTTAAGTATTGAACATTTAAGTAGAATTAAGTTCCAAAAGTCCATAAAACAAAATGTCTGGTTCCCAGAAAACTGAATCATACTATACTTTTCAAAAGTATCACACATATACTTGTTGCTAACAGAATTCAAGACCAAAAAAAAAAAAAAACGAATCTAGACACTTTTGGCATTGATTCCATTATTTTTCTCCACTTTCAATATGCGAAGAGTTCAGGCTTTTCAGAACCTGCAGAAGTAATCTATTTTTAGGCGGCTACAGATACAAATGCTAAGGCAACAGCATTTAAAGCTGGTAATATTCTTACCATTTTCCTGTCTGCCAATGATTCAACCAATACAAAAGGTTTTTCCTGAAGTATTACACGAAAAAAAAAAAAATCATCTATCATACAGACACTATAGAAGGCTTGGAAAAGACATTGTAATATAAAAGGTATATTTTAAATTGTGTCTATGCCTGGAATTCTACTGAAATTTAACATTAAGAAAGTCATAAAGGAGTATACCTTTCAAAAAAAGCTTTAAGAGCTTTTGTTCACACACACACACACAAACAAAAAATTTTTGATTATCTTTTTAATTATGCTTTGCCAAAAAATCTGTAATATTCCTCTGCCTATTCAATCTTAAGAAACAAACCACAAAGTTCCCTCTCTAATCTTCCCTATCTTAAAATCAGTCACCAAGTTTTATGAGACATAAAATTAGAGGTTATACTTCTTTTCTTTCATTTATTTAAGCTTCAATCCTTAATGCTTTAATCTCTTAAATATATCTTCATTTCATTTTATTCACTTTCATTAAAACTACCTGTCTTTGGGCTGGCCGCAGTGGCTCAAGCCTGTAATCCCAGCACTTTGGGAGGCCGAGGCGGGTGGATCACGAGGTCAAGGGATCGAGACCATCCTGGTCAACATGGTGACACCCCATCTCTGCTAAAAATACAAAAATTAGCTGGGCGTGGTGGCGCCTGCCTGTAATCCCAGCTCGGGAGGCTGAGGCAGGAGAATTGCTTGAACCCAGGAGGCGGAGGTTGCAGTGAGCCGAGATCGCGCCATTGCACTCCAGCCTGGGTAACAAGAGCGAAATTCCGTCTCAAAAAAAACAAAAAAACAAAAAAACAAAAAAAAAAACTACCTGTCTTTGTTTGGCCTGGTATAACAAAAACCATCAACCAGATGGCTTATTAACACCAGAAATTTATTTCTCACAGTTCTGGAAGTTTAAAGTACAAGATCAGAGTGCTGGTATCATCAGGTACTCATGAGGGCTGTTTTCCAGCTTGTAGACTGCCAGCTTTTCATATGTCCTCAGGGGATGAGAACAAACTCTTTCTCCTAAAATGGCATTAATCTCATTCATGAAGTCTCTATTCTCAAGATCTAATCACCTCCCAAAGGACCCACATCCTAATACCATCATCATGGGGGTTAAGATTTCACCATGTAAACACAGTCCAACATACCAACCTAGTCACCGCCACCATTATTTCTTATAGCATTGTACTGTAGTAGCCTCCCAACTAAATCAGGGGCATCAAAGAATCTCTAATTATTTTAATCTACTTCCTGTCCTTCATCCAGAACATATAAAATAGAAATCTGATCACATCAATTATTACTAGCAGTGCTGCTTTATAGACTGCAAACTTAGAAGGCCCAGCTCAAACTCAAACCTCTCAAAACCCCATAGTCAACACTTCACAACCTGCCATTCCTTCAGTTTCAGATGCACTCAGTGGCTCTTTCCAATTCCAACCACTCCACATGCTTCTTTGTTCATATAGAAATGCCATTCCTCTCAGTCCTTACAGAGCTGGACCCTGGCTCAGTCTTCCAAATCTTGCCTTCCTCTCACATTCTTAAGAAGACTTCTCCAAGCTAAATTGCCTCTTTCTGAAGCATACCTGGCTAAAGTTCTCAAACCTCAGATGGTAGACAGAAGAGAAAGGGACCAGCGATTTTGTGAACTCCCAGTCACTAAAGCACTTCCCCGGCTAACTCTGGTCATTTTAAGTAAACTCATTATGAATCCTTATTTAAGGAAAGCCAGACCAACACAATTATTTCCTTAATATATAACTTGGAAAATTAGCTTATATAGAATATTTCAGTGATCTAAAGATGCTGTTTTTTTAAAAAAACTGTCTTATCATATAAGCTCCAGGTATGCTAAAGTAGCTAACACACACATGTTAAATCAGTATCACATGAATCCATATTAAGTAATCTATTAGGTAAGGGAGAGAATAAGATCATTCCCTTGCAAGTGCTAACTAGGAGGTATATACAAGTTTAAAATGAACTGGTAAGAACAAACAGCATGAGCATTACTCACTATGGAGTCATTCTTAGATAGAGGGCTTGGATAGACATGAAAGGATAGATTGATGGATGAAAAAAATTTCTAACAGGTATTAAGCAGTGAGAAAAAAAATGAAACACAAAAAGGGAAGATTTAGATGTAATCTGTAAAAACTAGACATAACGAAGAGGATAAATAAGAAATGGACAAATACAAGCAAAAACATCAAAATAACCTGTAAATCCTGTGATAAGAATTAATACAGAAGGACTCAAAAATGGCTTAAAATAGGAATACCATACTATCTGCTTCACATTTAACATGACTATTATAACGTGAATTATTCTGCAAAACCTACACATTAAAATCATATAAAGAGCATATGAAAGCAAAAAGACTTCACAGCATGTCATAGTATAGAATATATTTTTAGAAAAAGAAGCCATTTAGGGCCAGGCACAGGGGCTCACGCCTGTAACCCCAGCACTTCAGGAGGCCAAGGTGTGTGGATCACTTGAGGTCAGGAGTACGAGACTAGCCTGGCCAACACAGTGAAACCCCATCTCTACTAAAAATACAAAAATTAACTGGGCGTGGTGGCGTGCACCTGTAATCCCAGATACTTGGGAAGCTGAGACAGGAGAATTGCTTGCATCAGGAGGCAGAGGTTATGGAGAGCCAAAATCAAGCTAACTGCACTCCAGCCTGGGCAACAGGATGAGACTTTGTCTCGAGGAAAAAAAAAAAAAAAAGGAAAAAAAAAAGCAGCAGCAGCCATTCAGATGCCATCAAAGGCATCCCACCCTGTTTAAATAGAAGGATTCTGAACTAAAGTTCAAAAACATTAAGTAACTTGGACAGGTTAAGGGACACTTGTTACTTGAAGACCTAGTACTTGTACCTTAAATCTTAACTCTAGATTCAGTATCATAACCATGCCCATTTTACAAGTTATAATTTCTAAATGAAGTAAAGCCCTTTTAATTATAATAACAAATCCAGGCTTGGCATATTTAAATTTTATTAATTTTATGTATTAATTACAAAATATAACCATTAATTTTCATAAATGATATTGAAAATATATGATCTGGTTTCATTTTTGTAAAGAAACAGCATATGAAAATTAAAGCTCAGATCCATTTCTATTACTTAAATAGAATTCAGTAGTGTCTCGACGCCGCCCCCGGCGCAAAAAAAAAGTGAGAGAAATTGCCAGTCATCTTTTAAAAAAACCAAATGACCACATAAACTGTTGAAATTTCTTACCTAGGGCTGCAATCAATGTGAGATGCCTAACAAAGTCTAATTTCATTTATTTTGCCTCCTGTGCATTTCATTTTAAATTTTATAAACTGATTCACTAGAATAACACGGGAAAATAATTCACAAAGAATCTTGCCAATCTTGGCCATCTGACAAACTTAAGAAAATTACAACAATACCAACTCTGTGATTAACCAAAAAAAAATTTACTCATAAAATGGACAAAGTCCTTCAGTGTTTGTTTTATTCACATATTGCATCAGAATACCATTCTATCTGAAAATAACTTACTCATGAAAATAATGAATACTAGAAAGGTGTGCCCTGTGAGAATCATTCCTTTACACATCAGTTACATGTCCATCACAACAAATCCGAGGTTGTTTCTACATCCCATAACAAACTTTTCATTAACCATTTAGCCATAAGCAAAGATCTCTTAAAACTTACAACAACACCGTCAATTCTTTCTATTCAACACCTCCTTGTAGAATGATTTCAACATTCCTCATCTTTGTGTTACGAATGAATCCATTCATGACCACAATAAGATAAAGATTCTAAAGGTATTTTAAACAAGTACTTATTTAGGTTTTCTTATTGATTTAGACAGGAAATACCTGAGACTTACTGCAAGTAAGAAAGCAGAAAAGAAAAAATGTGTAGAATTTATACAAGTCGTTGTATTTCTGGCACTGGAGCCATATACAACTTTGAAAGAGAAAATTTCAATATCTCTTAAGTGTCAACATAAAAATTCAGTATGTAACAAAGGTATAGTTTTCTAACAAAATAATAATAATAATAAAAGAATCCATAACATAAGGCTATAGCAGCAATAAGTTTGAGACAGGAAAGGAACAGGGATTTGGACTGGCCCTACTCCTCAATCACTGGTTATTACACATACCCATATTTATATACACACATACACACACTATTCATTTAAATTGTAAACTATCAGGAACCTGAAATACATTATAAAAAGTAAACCTAATATGGATGCAGCGAAAATTTAGTGAGCTCTTTTGTTTGATATGAACTTGGGCCTTGAAGACACATTTTCTTAGTCTAGTAATAACAGGGTTAACAGAAGAACAAGCAATTAAGTAAAAAATGACAAAGATATGCCTGGGATCTGGTATTAAATTTAACAGCATCATCAATTTTTATAACAAATTCAGTAAGGCTTAATACCCTCTATGAAGCTAAAGTACAAAGCCATTAGCACACAGAAGGAATCATTATTCTTTTTTAATTAATTAATTTAATTTAGGTACATAGTGTATCTGGCATTTCTCCCCATGATATCCCTCCCAACCCTCCCCACCTCCCACTGTCTCTCCCCTACACCCCCAACTGCCCCCATGTGTGATGCTCCTCTCCCTGAGTCCACGTGTTCTTATTGTTCAACAACCTCCTATGAGTGAGAACATGCGGTGTTTCGCTTTCTGTTGTGTCAGTTTGCTGAGAATGATGGTTTCCAGATTCATCCAAGTCCCTACTAAGGACACTAAATCGTCATTTTTTATTAAGAAGAAATATTAAACACATATATGTGTATTTTTACTTTTTCCATGCTATTACTGAGCACATTCATGAGAACATAAAAGTAACAAGTATATAGGATACGCTGTAATACACTAGATTGATTCAGTTCCTGGCCCTGCCACTGGTGAGCTTTGGAAACTTCTGGAAACAATTTACATCTGTGACAGTTTCTCCAGATGTGAAAATATCAACTGTAAATGGTGACTTTTTCTTTTTTTTAATTTGCTGATATGTTCAAATATTAAATATTTTCAAGTATTTCAAAAATTATTTATTGTGATCTGTCAATAAACTATTTCTTAAGAACTAGAATTGGATACTTTTGAAGGTTATGTTTCTCACACTATCAAAAGTCACCTTGGTAGTTTATACTTTCAGCTAAAATAAATTCATGAGATTTTTAACTCCCATAAAACATCAATAAAATCATTGTCTATACAAGCAGAGAAAAGCAGAGCTCTCATGTAATTAGATAATTACAGTAAAATTTTTGCTATGGAAAATATGATTTATTTAATCAAGTGAAATTAAAGAGTTTGCTTTATATTTTGAACTTGGATTTGTTACCAATTTCTTCCTTTCCCACATTTAACAATTAAACACTTATTTGGTACCTATTATGTGAACTTGCTGCTTTTTTTTAAAGCTCTAAATAAGAAAATATTGTCCACTATTTTATCTGACAGTAACAAAGGATGTTTTGAGAAAACTTTGCCAGAACCAAGCACGTAAGTAATCCTATCTTCCTTTTTGGATGCAGGAAAGTATTTTTTGTGTTTTTACATAATACTGCTAAAAAAAACACATACAGTTAGTTTTGTCTCTTGAAATCTCCTTTCTCCATCACTGGGTAAGTATAGCTCTCTAATCAATAACTTAAAACCAAGGAACTCAACCTTCAGTTAAGATTCTTCCTACATACAAATCTTGTTTAACGTTTGTAAAAATCTACTTTTTTAAAGTGATTTTTACATGAGAAATTTTATGAATTTATCTTTTAGTATTGCAATACATTTACCATATTACTTTACTTCTCCAGGCATTTTTTTCATCATTACTTAATAAACAAAAACACGTAGAGTAGAAAACAGAGAACTGGCTATGTCCCATGTTCGCATCTTATGTGACAGGTCCCA